GCTGAGCACGGTTTTGCTCATTACCACTAAGCCTTGAACTGGGTCCACAATTAGTACGTAATTGTTACATACCACATAACGACCAAAAAATTCTTTATTCGCAGATTTAGCCAACAAGATGAAATCTACAACTTTAAGAGTGAATGAAACCATCCATAGCACTGCCAAAGTTACCTTAGACCTTTGTGTGGTACATAATTCCACATATCTTAATGGAAAACACACTGATATATAACATTCCAGGGCCATTGTTGCCAAGATGTATGGAGTTATCAGGAAGGTAGTTTCTACAATGGTCACTAAGATGTAGCAGATAGAGATAAGCATGGGTAAAGAAAGCTGATAGCCCATCATCAACGTGAATCCAGTCAGGAGGTACACGGTATCATACATGAGCATGTGAAAGAACAGAATATAACGAGAGGTCTCACGTACATGAGGAGCGTTGCAGTAGACTCGGATCATGACTGTGATGAAGTAGAGGAAGAAACCCAAGAAGACAACAGATGGTACAACTAGTGTCAGCCTTACTGAAAGCGGTAATTTGTTCTGTGTATATGTCAAATTAGACATGGCTTAGACAATGCCAAGATTTCTATCTTTTTTGGTAAAGTTCTTCAGCTGTGAAGACAAATAAAATGCATATTAGTTGTCGGTTGGTATAGTTGGCTGGTTGGTAGTGTAACCTACCAGCTGTTTAAAGAATAACTGAACTTTTTAAAAATGCTGTTTTCCTTCCTGTTTAGCCACCCTGCTGAAAATTAGCCTACTTGCCCAAGATACATACTTGCCCTAATTTCAGTGCCCTTGACTCTTCAGTCTTCACATTCTGGCAGCTGAAAACTTTCTACCTTCACAGTCACTCCTCATGGACCCATCATTGAATAGAGGAGATGCTCAGTTGATGATCCCATAGAGGTCTATGGAGAGAGACTGTGCAGATATGGCGGTCTGTAAGAAGATTTCAGCTGCCCAGAGGTTAAGATAGCAAAAGGCCGAGATATACAGTTGCAAGAAAAAGTATGTGAACCCCTTGGGATTACGTGGAGTTTTGCATGAATTGGGCATAAAATGTGCTCTGAACGTCATCTAAGTCACAACAATAGAAGAACACAGTCTGCTGAACATAATACTACACAAACATTAGATGTTGCCATGGTTTAATTGTACATAACATGTAAACATTCACAGTGCAGGGAGGAAAAAGTATGTGAACCTTTGGACTTAATAACTGGTTGACCCTCCTTTGGCAGCAATAACCTCAACCAAACGTTTCCTGTAGTTGCAGATCAGACCTGCACAATGTTCTGGAGTAATTTTGGAGCACTCCTCTTCACAAAACTGTTTCAGTGTAGCAATATTCTTGGGATGTCTGGTGTGAATCGCTCTCTTAAGGTCATGCCACAGCATTTCAATCAGGTTGAGGTCAGGACTCTGACTGGGCCACTCCAGAAGGCGTATTCTGTGCTGTTGCAGCCATTGTTTTGTTGAATTACTTGTATGCTTTGGATCATTGTCCTGTTGCATCACCCATCCTCTGCGGAGCTTCAGTTGGCGGACAGATGGTCGTACGTTTTCCTGCAAAATGTCTTGATAAACGCTGGAATTAATTTTCCCATCAATGACAACAATCCGTCCAGGCCCTGAGGCAGCAAAGCAGCCCCAAACCATGATGCTCCCTCCGCCATGTTTTACAGTGGGGATGAGGTTTTGATGATGGTGTGCTGTGCCTTTTTTTCTCCACACATAGTGGTGTGTGTTCTTCCCAAACAACTCAATCTTGGTTTCATCTGTCCACAGTATATTTTGCCAGTAGTGCTGTGGAACATCCAGGTTCTCTTTTGCAAACTTCAAACGTGCTGCAATATTCTTTTTGGACAGCAATGGCTTCCTCCATGGTGTCCTCCCATGTACTCCATTCTTGTTTAATGTTTTCCTTATTGTAGATGTGTCAACAAAACTGTTAGCATGTGCCAGAGATTTCTGTAGGTCTTTAGCTGACACTCTGGGATTCTTCTTTACCTCATGCAGCATTCTGCGCTGTGCTCTTGCAGTCATTTTTACAGGACGACCTCACCTAGGGAGAGTAACAACAGTGCTAAACTTTCTCCATTTGTAGACCGTCTATCTTACCGTGGACACATGAACATCAAGGCTTTTGGAGATACTTTTGTAACCCATTCCAGCTTCATGCAAGTCAACAATTCTTGATCGTAGGTCTTCTGAGAGCTCTCTTTTCTGCGAGGCATGGTTCACATCACACAGTGCTTCTTGAAACCAGTAAACCCAAAACAGGTGTGTGTTTTTTAAGGGCAGGACAGCTGTCAGCAACACATCCAATATCATCACACTGATTGGAGTCAAGGTTGGCTCACTCCTGGCTCCAATTAGCTCTGGGAGAAGTCATTAAGCTAGGGCCTCACATACTTTTTCCTCCCTGCACTGTGAATGTTTACATGTTATGTGCAATTAAACCATGGCAACATCTAATGTTTGTGTAGTATTATGTTCAGGAGACTGTGTTCTTCTATTGTTGTGACTTAGATGACGTTCAGAGCACAATTTATGCCCAATTCATGCAAAACTCCACGTAATCCCAAGGGGTTCACATACTTTTTCTTGCAACTGTATATGGGGCAAGTGGACTTATTTTCCCCAGAGGGCCCATAAAAGTACAGTTAACTGTTAAATTACATATGTTATGAGATAAACTGGGGCTGCCATTGCTTGCTTACGTCTGAGAATTCTCGTTGCACAACTGTGTCTGGGCTCAATACTTTCTAAACCACAAACTTGAACAAGTATGCAGCAAATGAAAGTCAGAATTGTTTTTTTCCATACTTGTTCTAGGTGACTGACCAAAGCATCAGCATGATGGCCAGGGGACCAGGTTTCTCAGAAGGCATCGACAATGGTTGACCTTCTATTTCTCTCATAACAAGTTTCCCGAAAAGGCATTTATAGTGTTTTTTTTTTATATATATTTGTTATATATATTTCTGTTTTTTTATATATTATGAACCAAAAAAAAAAAAAACAGATTCGATATATTCAGTTTAACACATTATTACATGGGATATTATATAATTGCTGGTTGGCTTGAGATTATCACATTGTCAGAATTTTATGCTCTGCAATTTACAGGTTCAGGTTGCAATAAAGCAACACATTTATAAACTTGCAAAAAAAATTTTAAATAAATTTCCCCCCAAAACACTGTAGTTTGTTTTTAAGTGAGTCAGCCAAAACCAAACAGATATGTAAGTTTTGGATTGGAAGCAGGGCTGCCTGCTTGTTCCCTCATTGAGCTCCAAATGTAGGATGACATAAGAGGCCTACACCCGCTGTGGGTTCTTCTGGGCTACGCACTGTGGAAAGGGTCACTTGCCCTGCACATGGGGTACTTTAACTGTGCAGTGCCTATCAATGCCCCAAGACAAGGCAGAGGCTTCTTTTAGGGATAACAACCTTAAGGCAGACCTCCAACTTATAGATGGCTGTACACATGTACACTGAACAATGAACTGGTCTCCGCTCCACCCATCCAGCGTCCCATCTCTGTTATCTCACTCCCAGTAACAGAATGGTGTCTCGTCGTGCATCTAGCATGGACTCCATGCATGCACTTAATTAACTCTTCCCTTTCCATACCTGGTGGTCAGGATGAGGGCCTCTGCTGTGCTCATCTGCTATCATTGCTATGGCAGATGGACCGTTTGAGGAGCACCAGAAGCTACTCCCTCATTGCCAGAAGACACCCATCTGTCACAGGTACCATGCTTTGTGACAGGTTGCTTATCTTCTGTTACCCTTGGTAACTACTTGCTTGTACTCCACACTGAGTTAACTCTTACAAAGCTGTCTTCATACCCAATGTACTTTGCTGACCCAAGCTGTAGCTGACGTGTAGTGTGCCCATCACTTGCATACACCCATGTGAATAACTTTGGTCCAGGCATGGATAAGTTTCAAAACTTCACTGAAAGTGTTCATCAATACAGTTCAAGAAGGCAATAGTCTTTCCCTATCTCAAACCCTAACTAAGCTTTGGCTGCCCCAGCGTACCTGCACACGTGAAGTCCATACTTGGCATAGTCCATAGTGGCAGTGCTCCAGAAGCTGGTATCTTAAGGGTGGACTGCAGGTCCCAGCAGTCCCCCTACATATTGAAGGCTTGAGTTCATGAACTGACTGTGGGGCTCAGACCCTCTCAGACTCTAAGCATTTCACTTTCTCAGAATGAGAAAGGCTCTGTTTGATAGTGACCTTTGGATCCAGCCCCACAGGACTGGTGGGTCATACCCAAAAACTACACGATTTCAGATCAGGGGGAACAACGGCAAAATTACGTTAACTCCTCCTTCCCTCCTGACTGGGTCAGCAAGCTATCTAGCTTACAACCTGCCTACATGTACATTTGTTGAGCAGTTAGCATGGTGATAGCTCTGTAAAGTTGTTAAAGTGTAGCTCTCAGCAGAAAGTATAACATGTAATGTGATTGCACAATTGTACATGTATAATGTTTTCTGGGTCGGAAGCAATGAACTGGATTGTCACAATATGTTTTGGGAATATTCCTACAAACTTTTGCAATCATAATTGTAGTGTACTTTTTAAAGAGAACAGTCAGCAGTTGTCATTTATAATCTGATTCTCCATACCTGTCCATGCCACTCTGTACATACTGCCCCATCATACCCTCCACACTTTTCTCCTGTACATACTGTCCCCATCATACCCTCCACACTCCTCTCCTGTACATTACTGCCCCATCATACCCTCCACACTCCTCTCCTGTACATACTGCCCCCATCATACCCTCCACACTCCTCTCCTGTACATACTTCCCACCATCATACCCTCCACACTCCTCTCCTGTACATACTGCCCCCAACATACCCTCCACACTCCTCTCCTGTACATACTGCCCCATCATACCCTCCACACTCCTCTCCTGTACATACTGCCCCCATCATACCATCCACACTCCTCTCCTACACATACTGCCCACTGTCATACCCTCCACACTCCTCTCCTGTACATACTGCCCCCATCATACCATCCACACTCCTCTCCTACACATACTGCCCACTGTCATACCCTCCACACTCCTCTCCTGTACATACTGCCCCCATCATA